TTAAATAATTCCTATTATAATATCACAAATACACAAGATTCATTAAAGACAAAACAGGATTCCACATTCAGGGCAATGCTCATTTCCATGGCTGCACAAATATTGTAAGATTTGTTGTAACCCGCCGCTTTGTGATAAGTGCATTATATAGTTCACACCATGTTTCTGTTATCAGCTAGAAAGTGAACCAATATTTTCTAAACCTGATGCTGTCTGCAGAGTGTGTCTTGTCCCTGAGTTCTCCATATTCGCATTTTCTTCCACAACCCAAGGACATTGTGGTTACTGTCTACTTTGCACTTGAATCTATATGTGAATACTCAAGAGCAATGATTATCAGCTATGGACAGTGATGGATAGAGAACAAGACCCTTTTACAAAACACTGTTTTGAGATGTTGTAACAGTGAACTTTCCCCACTGTGGGATCAATAGAGTTTATCTTTATCTTATCTAATCTTTTCTACTTTATTTAATGTAAAATGAGTTTTGCTCATTTGTAGTTATTCTAGCTTTAAATGTCTAATTTTGATTTTCAGACTAACTTCAAAGCTAGGTTTCTTATAACTTCAGGCATTTTGATTTAAAATGAGTTGAATGAATGAACAACTTCAAAGTTCATTCAACTCATTTTCTCAAGTTTAAAAGAAACAAAACAAGCATATGAGCAGACTTTCTAGGATTTTCATTATTAGAGAGCTAAAACATCCCCAGAGAATCTTGTTTTATGTGGTTTGAGAAAACAGACATAATTTAAGCTTGCGAGACATATTTAATTAAGCTTTGGTTGTTTCTTTCCATAGTTATCAAAACAGTTCCACCAATGACAAAGATTAGGAGTGAATTCAGTGCCTAAACCTGTAAAATATTATTTTACTTCATTGTAACTGAGAGCTTTGTGCTGATTTTGTAAAAAAAATGGCTTCAATAACAGAAGCTGTGAATTCTTAATGTCCAATGAATGAATCCCTGCAACTAATGTCTTTGTCACTAGTTTGATTCAACACAATGCATTTATTTGGTAAAAATTTGTTTTTGAAGTTATGTAAATTTAATTCAGCTGGTTTTACACTTTCACAACTCATGAACTGATTCATCATTTAAAATGTAGTTAATTTACATTTTAAGGCAGCAGAGTAACATACATTTCTAAACCGATTCAAATTAAAATGATTTACAGTGTGTACATTTAAGTACACCTTAATGGTTAGTTTTTATCCACTAAGTAAGATCAAGCAAAGGGAAAAAGATAAAGAATCTTATCAGGCCAGTAGGTGGAAGCAAAGAGTAAAAACTGGAGTTTATGATTCAGAATTTGTGAATATTGAACAGTAAGAGGGAAAATGACTTGTTGAAATGTTGAATAGTTTAATTTAGAAGCATTTGTAAAACTTGTTTTTCAAATGAAATACATTTAATTTAGCTGGTTCTTACACTTTTAAAACTCATAACATGACTTTGAACTAGTTAATCATCTAAAATGTAGTTAGCCCACATATTTAAAGCAGCAGCAGAACATATGTCTCTTAAATGAATTAACTTAAATGCTTTAAAGTGTATACATGCTAATATTTAGAAGAAGAGGAAGCACTTTTTTGATTATCAATTTATGAATATTGAAAAATGAGAGAGAAAATGAGTTTAATTAAGATAAAATTCTAGACACATTAAAAAAAAAAAAAAAACACTGTTACAGATTAAGTGGCTTTTAAATTTCCAGTCAACAAAGGTTTGGATCAGCAAGCAGGACAAGTATCTACAACTTTAGTCTTCGCTGCAGTAAGGCATTCAGACAAAACCCCAAACGCAACTTATTACTAAAGTATAATTCTGTGTAGTTGAGTCTCCAGTAGTACTATTTTGAACCAAACGAACGACCGTGAACGTAACCGGAAGCTTCTCTTGACGCAGTTGGATCTTTGACTAGAATCAAATCAAACGGAAGCTCAGTTCTCGGCCTCTGATTGGTTCTCAACTTCCAGGGGGCGGGGCCAGGGGCGGCTCCCTTGTTGTCTGTTCGGTTGAGTATTTGAAATAGAAAACAACAGACTGTTTGGGTGCAGCAGCTGTCGTCCTTTAGAAAGACTGCAACACCGAATCTCTGGTAAAATAAATAAAGAAATAAAACTGAAAATGGTCTGCGGGTCAAACTGAGAAACTCGAACTGCAGGTAAGGACGCTGCACTGCTACAGCTCATTTATACACATACAATACAGATAGTCTTAGTGCATCTCATTTGCATCGTAGTTGGTGTCACTTTGCTCGCTCATTTTCCAAAAACATAATTTTATCCACACTGCTGGATGCCATTGATGCTCTCAGACAGTTTAAATGGTTTGCATTTGTGACAAAAACGCGTTTGAAGGCTTTAGAAATGCTTGTGTTTAATCCCATTATTTCACCCTTTGACTCTCTGATGTCTACCTCACAAAGCTATGCCACAGTTTGTGCACTGCAGGAAATAAACTGTCATTTACTAATAGGTGCAAAGGCTCAACATATAGAGTTAACTCAGGCCTGGTTTTCCACTGACTAGATGTTTAATAAAAGCAGCCCCTCCCCCATTTATCTAGAAACAGATGGACCCTAACAATGAAATGCTGGGGGAGTGGGCATTCTTATTCAAACCACTGTAATGCTACACATTTCATTGGACATCCCAGTCAGCTGACCTGTGACTGCTTGAATTTTGAAACACAATATGACGAAAGGAGTCTCATGGCATCACGCCCAAACAGTCAAAGGGGGATTAGTGTTGATATGAGAAATGAGTCGTGATATTTTGCCAGTATGTATGTATGTATGTGAGACTGAATTTTTCCTTGTCTGAAGTGGCTGAAGACTGTTGCAACACCGGAGCTTCCTGCTGAACAAAGAAGGGAAGAAGAACAGAAACAAGAGGAGAAAACAGTTATGTTTAAAACCATCAGCCGTCTGCTGTTTGGTGGGGAGGAGGAGGCCCCTGGAGATGTCAAGTCTGGAGAGGTGGTGGAGGAAGGATGGACCGTAGTCACTCATCAAGGTCAGTCCTGAAGCATCTTGTATTCACAATATTAGCATAATAAAAACATATATGCAGACTAGACGTTCAAACCATGACATTTGTAGATCATTCTAACTGGCTGCTGCCTGCGTGGTTGAAATGTGTATGATTTACTGACATTCTTATATATTATAATCTGGGATATTGTGCAAAAATTATGCAAATTAATAATGGTAAAGTTCATTGCACTGAGCTGCGAAGTGATGTCATCAAACAGAGATGAAGACTAACTTATTTATTCTTTTTTTCCCCCCCATTTCCTTTACATAACACCAATTTCTAAGTCATCGTAAGTCACTTTACATAATAAGGTTAAAATCTTACAATATATTACAGAGAGAAACACAACAAATCCCTTGGAGCAGCAAAGTTCACTTTTAACAGGAATAAACCTCTGACTGAACCAGGCTCAGGGAGAGCAGCCACATGTCTTAACTGGTTTGGACTGGGATGAGGAGACAGGGGAGCGATAGCAAGATAGCAATGAAGAGATCCATAAACGCTGAGCGTGTAAGCGAGGCAGATAAATGCAGATCACGAAGGTGCAGCTCCACAGTCACCGATACCTGCAGAGAGGACAAAACGAAAGTCTCCCAGCACCTTCAACCCACAGCATCATAACTAAAACATGGGTGAGGCTCACCTGAGTCAGCCCCGACTGTAGTACATCTGATAGGTTTGACTCAGCAGTTCTCCTGTTAGTCACTGAGCTGTAAAACTGTGCACTTAAGTACTATGAGTGTTCATTTCTCCAGATAAGGACTACATTGAATTGTTGCTCAGATGTATGACAGACAAGCACTTTTGTCTTCACAGAGGCAGGTTCAGCAGAAAACCAGGACACACTGCTGACTGACACACAACCAACCAACTCTACTCTTCATGGAAACGCAGCTGCAAACATGGACACTGACTGGTGAGGCAGCAAGAGGCACCTTTTTATCCACGTGTTGAATTCAGACTGCAAGAAATTCATATTAAATTGAACTGTGCTCTAACTATAACAGCTCGTATCTCTATTGTGTTTCTCTCCAGTGTCCCAGATGCAGAGCCCACAGTTCAAAGCAGCAGCAGCGCTACCAGTCAAGCCACGTCTGACTCTTTTTTACAGCCTAAAGCTCTGCCAGCAAGAACACCATTAACCTGCACCCAGAAGACTAAGGCCTGGGCAGACCGGCACCACGTGTCCCGCAACGCCATTCAGCGCCAGAATCGTATTCGCCAAGGAGTCCAGCACAACTCCTTCCACCTCCATCAGCCAGTCCATCGCAGACTTGGCCTCTGAATCTCTGCCTGTAGCACCATGAAATAATCTGATGAGATGTTCTCATTCACAGTAAACACATATCCTACCTAAAGCTTACCTACAAAGGCACGTAGCTCAAACTCAGACTTGACAATGACACCATTATTCTATCATGTTTTTAAACACTTCCACATTTAAGCTATACACCTAATTTTAATGTAATCCATTATAACGCTAGACAACTGTTGATAGGCAGCTACATTATCATTTTTACTTGAATTTGGAATAAAGATGTTCTCCTCACACAATGAGACTGTGTTTTCTTGTTGTGTGTGTGTGCATGTGTATTCACACATATGCAGCCTATGCAAAGTGTATCCTCAGAAGTGATGGTGTGTGTATCAGCATGCTTTACGTACTTGATTTAAAACCTTTATATACGTCAATAAAAAGTATGGCTTTTTCAGCTTGTGTGTTTTTTTGTTTGTTTTTTTTCCGAGTGTTTTTTGTTTGTGAGTGAAATTGCAACGTCCTAATGACATTGAACTACTCACCATCTGACAAATGCAAATATTGATCTCATTAGTTTGGAGGGAACTGCACCTGTTCAGTTCCTGCGGAAGGACGGCTGCACTTTGTGGACAAATAGTAAAATAAGGAAGTCTGCTGTGTCCTTGAACTACTTTAGTCCTTTGTGGAAACACACTGAGGATGGATGTTTCTCCTGAAACAAAACTTAACAATCAGTCAACATTTAGTTACAAGAGTTTTAGTTCACCTCAACTGGCTGACGGCTCATCAAGCAATGACTTGGCTAAAAAGCATGGTGAGAGGATGCAGGTAGAGTGTAAACAGTGTTGTTTTAGTTCTACTTAGGTCATTCAGATGCTCTTGTATTTATTTCCTGTTAATTTAGAACTGCCATGATGCTAATTTGCAAACTGCAGGTGTAAATTACCTGATTGGATCAAGAGATTAGGATCTAAGGGCCCTGAAAAGCCAAGAAGAACCATGTAAGAGTTTTCACCTGAACCCAATAATCCTTCATACTGAATCAATATTTCAATTTGGTTTCTTGTCTGCTGCCACAGATCTCAACCCTTTGAAGCAGGCCTCTGGGAGCCCAGATCAGTTTGATGGACACCTGTCCAACCTAAAAGAGACAGATGAAGACTGCTCCATTTGGGACACACCTATTCTTATCTCTGCTGTGTCTATCATCTTTGCAGCTGGAGTGACCATTGCATTGGTCCTGCAGATCTACCTGGGTGAACGCTCAGTATGTCATGATGTATAACATTTGCAAGTCAAACCATTTGCATCGTTGCATTATTTATCCTCATCACAACTGCTTTTGCAGGCCTCCATTAAAGGTGTGCTGGTGTCGGACCATCAGCGCTGCACTGCACTCGGTCAAAGAGTCCTTCAGGACGGTGGATCCAGTGTGGATGCAGCTATCGCGGGTGCTCTGTGTCTGGGTGTTGTGCATCCACATGTGTCAGGTGTTGGCGGGTATGTGACTCACTTATTCTTGATATGATTTCTGGAAAATATTTACAGATGATCACAAATTGATCCTTGTTTATTCCCTTTCTGCAGAGGAGGAGTGATGCTGGTTCATGACATCCATAAGAATGAAACCAGGGTGATAAATTTTCAGGGGCATGCTCCTAAAACCCTGGGAAAGAAGATGCTGCAAAATGTCTCAGAGCTAAAGGTAATATAAAGGTCAGGGTGGGGCACCAATCAAGATTTTAATCATTTAGTGTGCATAACTGTTTTCAGGCCGGCCTGCAGGTTGGAGTACCAGGTATGCTCAGGGGGCTGCATCATGCTCACAGCCTCTACGGCAGGTAAGAGTATAGATAAGTGACATTTTTCTGATATTTACTGTTTTGCTCAAACATATAATACCACAACTTCACTACAGTCTGTCATGGGAGGATGTTGTCAGCAGAGCAGCAGATGTAGCCAGGGAAGGTTTCAATGTGTCGCACAGTCTCTGTGAGTTAAACTACACCTCTCTACTCACTTACTGTCTGGCTCAGTATGTAAATCAATGATTTTACCTGAGAAAAATATACCAAGATTTGTCATTTGTCGTCTTCTACAGCTGATGCAATATCAAAAGTGAAAGGTGATCAGCTGTCACAGCGCTTCAAGGACACGTTCATCCCAGACGACCGAGTTCTGAGTCCTGGTTCGTATGTGCAGATTCCTGGTCTGGCAGGAGTCCTGGAGGCTGGTTTGATGAGTTTCTACCATGGAAACTTATCACAAGAGATAGAGGATGAGGTGACTGACATCCACATATCAAATGGCCTGGTTTTAAGGAGAAATGTACTTGGTAAAATGTGTGGAGTTCTCTTTCCCTACAAAGGTGCGAGCAAATGGAGGCATCCTGAGCAGAGAGGACATCAGTAGCTATATTGTGGAGGCAGAACAACCACTTGAAGGCCAATACAACCGTAAGACTACATTTTTCACACAGTAGACCAACAGAAATAAAGATAACCCTTGATACCTTAATCTACAGCTTCTTATTTTTGTCTTAGACATTAGAATTAAAGTTCCTCCTCCTCCATCTGCTGGTGCAGCGTTGATATCAGCTCTCAACCTGTTAGAGGGCATCCATCTCAACGAGAACAATCTAACAGAAAGTCAAACTCACCGCTGGATTGCTGAGGTGCTGGATTGCAAAGTGTCTGTATATTAGAGCCTGTTTGACATGGTACTTCTCTGACACAATGTAATGTTGTTGTTTTTTTGTTTGTTTTTAAACTCCTCATAAAGGCTGTGAGAGCAGCTTTACTAATGGCTGATGGACTGGGCAAACCTAAATACAACTCTTCAGTGGCCGAGCAGCTCTCTGATATGCTGAGGTAAAATATACTGCGGCATCACTGTCTTGTTAGGGCTGCAATTAAAAATCATATTTGCTATCAATAAAACAGACTATGTTCTTCATTAAATTACCTGTTATTTTTCTGTAAAATGTCTTTAAATGTCTCTCCTCAGATCTGAAGAGCTGGAACTAGACAGTATATGTGTTTTTTTCAATGAAATAAATCACTGATGATCAAAATTAGTTTTACAATCAATATATTTCTCTGTACATTTAGCTCTGATTAGGCCAGAATCCTAATATTTCTACATTTACGTTACTATGGTTCCATCTGTATCATTTTAGATTTCAGATTGAGAATTTCAGTTTTGGGTCCCAAATAACAAAAAAGTAAACTCAGTAACGTTGCAGCAGCATGTTGAACTCACCCCCATACATGTTTATTTTCTTACCTTTTTTTTTTTTTTTTGCATTCTTTCATCCTTTTTGTCTCTCTGCTCTTACTATAGCAAAAATCCGACTGAAGTGCTTCTCCAGAGGATGAATTACTCCCACACACCTCCATCTGAGTATCACTCCACTGTCCAGTCTCTGCACACGGAGCTGCTGGCTGGACAAGTCGTGGTCATGGGACCAGATAACCTCATGGTCTCTGTTGCAAGGTGATGTTGTCGCGGCCCTCGGTGCGACTCTGATGATCACAACAGGAGGATATGTTTGGTATGTGCTCCTGGGCAATGTGACATTCTTCTCTTATCTGTTGTCTTTATGATCTTGCAGTTCCTTGAACAGGCCGTTCGGGAGTAGGATCATAACTCCGTCAGGCATCATCCTCAACAGCCTCCTCCTTGACTTCTCCCTGTCAAATAAAACCCAAGGGCAGCTTCACACTCAACAGGTGCAAGTTACACCCAATAAAATCACTCAAATACAAGGTATTGACCTGAATATTTTTTACCTCCTTGTCATCTGTGCTCCAGAAAAACAGTACAGCCTCAGAAGAGAGACCCCTGTTGTTGCTCATGCCCATAATAATGGTGCCAGCTTGGGGTACATGTGGGATCTACACGGCGCTCAGCAGCTCAGGTGGACAAAACATTCTACATACAATCACCCAGGTTTGATCCTTCCTACAGTAATAATGCATCTGGATTCTACATTTTTTGTGAAAACATTTAACATGTAAACTAATTGTGTCCCCAAGGTGATGACCACTGCCCTGTTCTTCCATAAAGAGAGAAACGACAGCCTCTCCCATCCAAACACACTTCTTGTTGATCGTAAGCATGACATCATATTCAGAAGCTGACCTTTAGCTTTAGTGCTGTTAGATCATGTCTGATATGTTAGTAATTTCCTTCTTTCGCAATTCTCTCCCATCAGCTGAGTCTCTAGAGGAAAGCGAGGAGTTTATTCATGCAAAGGGCCATGTAGGTCAAGAAAGGAAGACGAACTCTGGTGTCCAGGGGATCCAGAGGAGAGAAAATATCATTAAGGTCATAAAAGCACGTCAACTGTTTGATAGTTTAATATAGTGGTATTGTTCTAATGTACTTTACTTATGAAATATATACAAATAGAGCTGCTGTTGTGCTTCCTTTGTGAATATAAATGTTGTTTGCTGATGCCCCTATTGATTTGAGCCATTGGCTAAACACAGCTACTCTCTAATTAAAGAAGGCAACTGTTCATGTCAATGATCTGGATTAAAGAACGAACCTTATATGTGATTTACCCACTGATTTTTTTTGTCATTTATTTATTTTGAAAAGAGTGAAGCAAAGATTTGATGCTGGTTCAGGACACATGGCCTCTATGTCTGAAGAAAATGAGGGCTGTTACGTAAAACTGATGCAGCGAAGATATTGTCAGACATGCATGCCGACTGCATCACAAGGCAGAGCATGTCACATGCGTTCAGTCTGCACAAACATGTCACTCAGAGTGTTGCAGTCGTTTCCAGGTATTAGTTACTGTCAACAAATTTACTCACTATCTGGTAACTCCGATGAATAGTCTAACATTCCAGTAATGAGGTATGATAACCTCCCATGTGTGGGTTGTAACATGAAAATGAATCCTGACAAATCAAGCTGGAGTTTCTTGGCTTATGTTAGTGTCAAAACTGATGACGCTGTGCAGGAATGAACAAGAGGAGTCAAATGTCATGAGAACGGCAGTACAAGAAAGAGAACCTTATGTCCTGACTCAGTGCCACAGATGTACAGTTTAATCTGCAATATTTGATGCTTGAATCCATAAACTCCAAATACATCCAATATGGTAACATTCAAGCAGAAAATGTTGACCTTTGTACACAAAATATATTTAATACATTTAATTTATTTACTTCTAATGATCAGTACAAACATAAAAACAACCACAGCTCAAAGGAGGTCAGCCACACTTGACTGTGTATTGATAAGGATTTTTTTTTTTTTTCTTTACCAGCCTGCAGTCAGCTGATCTCTGCAACAAAGCCTGACTGCACGTCAATGTGCAATCAGGTTATTTAAGAGAGTTGCAGACAGTTCTAGTTGAGAGGAGACTTTGAGGGCGGGGAGGCTGAGTGGGCGGTGTCGGTGACATGCAGGTCAATATTTAAACACCTGCAGACGAACACCTCCTTCTCAGTGGAAGTTCAGAATCTGTGACGTCTGGCGGCTTTTTACGCGATCAATTTATATGGATTAACCGAGCGCGTATGAATAGTTTTTGACAGTAAGTGAGTGTTTTTTTTGTTTCTTTTTGTAATGTTTCTAAAGCTAAACTGACTCTCTATTTAGAGCTTTGTTAGAATAAAGTTACAGAGCAGGAAGTTTGTTTAAAGAGGTGCAGCATCCTGGTCCAGCTGAAGATAATTGTTTGGAACAGTTTAATTATTACATAGAACCACATTCCACGTTAGTTTTACGACATGGCTTATATTTGTGACACAGTGACCAGTCCGCTGCGTGTTTCTTTTAGTTTATTTTACTTCTATTGTGTTTCTACAGGTTGCTGCTTCATTACGCGCAACAGCAGCTTCCAACCGATTTTAACAGACTTGCACTGGATTAAAGAGGGGTTTCAATGGAGCCCAAAACTGCACAAAATGAGAAGTTTTTCATCGTCCTACGGGGGAAGTCGAGGAAAGGCTTCTGTCGAGGATGTATCGGCCGTGTGGAGGCAGAGACGCAGCGCGGTGAGCTGATGGGGCTCCTGTACGGCAGCGGCAGCTCAGGAAGCCCCAAGAACGGAGGCATCGTGAGGAGAGAGGACACGTACCCGCTGAGCAGACACCAGGCGCAGCTCCTGCTCTTTGTCACCTCCGCAAGCAAGCGCCTGGAGCTGCTCTGCAACCCGCAGCTGTTCTCGGCCATCTGCGAGTTGTCTCAGGACGACCTGGTGGTGGTGAAGCACAAGAAGGGACATCTGCCCGGCCTGGTGAAGAACCTGATGCAGATTGGAAGGAAGGAGAACAAAGACGACCTGCACATGCTCGGCTTTGAGGTGGAATTTGTGGTGCGTAAAGTTGGTTTATTATTTTTCCAGCATCAGTGTGTGGGTAAAGCTCAAGGTTGTGGAAGCCAAACATTTATTGTCAAGTTTCCCTGAATATAAATGCAATACAGTCTGAAATATACGCAAACAATGAAGGCCATGTAATCTCCACTGATGTGCACATGTTTGGGCCAATTTAGGAGTCAAAAAATTTCAAGGAGATCTGCAGCTTTCAGTGTCATCAGCACAAATGTATACACATATCAGCGTTGGTGTTCTGTAGATCTGAATCCAAAGCGGTGTCTGTTTGCTTTGCACTAACTGCTTTGTTTGTCTCCTTTTATAGGACAGTGATCACAGTTTGTCAACCAAGAAGCCTGCTCCTCTGCCCCTTTTCAGCGCTGCAGACATTGTCCAGGTGGTCCCATCTTACTCTGTCCCCCTTGGACTGCACTGGAGAGACGGAAAATGTGGAGGTGAGTGAAAGGGTCAACGCTTATCTGTCTCATACATCGTCAGCATGTGACATTTCTGAGCCACATGATACCTAGGTATTGGCATCCTTGATTTTTATCAAACAAAATCATTTTATTTAATACTTGAAGTAAACACAGTTTTGGTTTAAAAAAAAATTAAAAATCTCAGTCATCCTTCAGCCCAAACAGCAAATGAAATTGAGAACATTAAAATTTGTTAACAAACCCATGTGACTCCAGGTGGGGACACAGAGGAATAGGTCCCAGTACACAACTAGACAAACTGGTTCTGTTGCATTGGAACGCAGAATGTTGGAGTCATCACATGGTCTGGCATTTTGCACATTGTGCACTGTAAAGTGTCTGCATACCGCATAGGTAGACCTGTGTGTTAGCTGGAGGTCAATCTGATGAGGCAACATCTGACAAGCCTCAAAAAAATGTCTCATGACTCTCTAACCACTCGCCTCTTCACTTCCACAGGGCTGAACAGAAAGGCGGTGACACGCATCAATTCCATGCCACATATCAGCTCTCATGCGCGACAAGTGAGGGAGAACCACACGGAGCAGAGTGTCACTCAGAACCAGTGTCTGAGCACATCTCACGTCTCTCTGGAGGTGGGATCCATGGTGGAGGTGGTTTCCAACTCGGGGATCACAGTTTATGGGGTCATCCGGTGGTTGGGGGTGCCTGGAGGAAAGGCAGCTGAATGGGCTGGGATTGAATTGGTGAGAGACGAGAGTTTTGCACGACTATGTTTTCCGTCAGCTTCAGCTATCCGTCATATTTATTTTATATTTTGTTGTTTCAGGACTTTGAAGTGAAGGGCTGCTCTGATGGGACGTACGGAGGTCAGAGATATTTCACCTGCAAAGAAAGCAGGGCTTTGTTTGTTCCCATCACAAAGTGCAGCCCTGATAGCAGGTTTGTCTGCTTGTCTACAGAAGGGGAGACCCTCAAACCCACAGAAACACCTCCAGGTGAGACGCGTCACCCCGTCTGGTGAAACATGCAAACACAAGACATTAAAATTTACACATTGCACGCATTTCATGTTATTTTTTTATCCATTAACGTCATACTTTATAAAAACTATTAGTGTGGCATTTTACAGTCCAAAGTAAAGTGAAGCGTTTCATTAAGGTGCTTCAGAGTTGTCTATTTGGAACATTGATGGATTGCATTGTACGCATAAATGAATGTGACACACAGGAATGTTTTGCAGACTGAACTTTTGATCAGGGTGCCCGCATTGTCAGTGTTATGTAAAGTTATTACATAAAACTTTCAGGATGGATATTTTTAATTCCTGCTGCTATCAGTTTCTGCCTCAAGACTTTGTGAAAAGAAATGATGTCAGTGACATTCATCACAATGCACACTTTGTGACACTTTTTGTTTGTCAGTGAATTTGTTTGCCAGTCCTGTGAGCTTCCTGCTCGGGAAAAGCAGATTAATCATTATCCTTACAGAAATGTGTGATAGTCTAGTTTTCCTGGTGTTCTAGCCAGACTAGTTTTCATATCTAAACCTGCCAATGAAGTAATAATAAGGTCTGTGTTAAACTATCATTTAATCCTTTTTTTTTGTACATTTCCTTGCTCTTTTCAGTTCCTCCATTTGATGACTCAGAAGAGGATGCACCGCCTGTCCCTGAATCAGAGGCATTGTCATTGTTAGTGGGAAGAATGAAAGGGATTCAGGGTCACATTAATTCCTGTTACCTCGACGCAACACTCTTCAGGTAAAACCAGTTCACAGCCCTTCAGGGTGGTTGATTGACACCTAACCGATTACTACAAACTCAGCTACTTTAGTCTCTCATTATGTACAGTAACTCTATTCGGAGGAGGTCTTATGCAACCAAATGAGCACAGTGAACTGTATTCAGATAAGTTTGTAAAACAATGTGGTTTTCTCTCAACAGTTTGTTCAGTTCATCCGTGACCCTGGACAGCATCTGCCAGATACCTGCTGACACAGAGAAACCCATAACCTGTACTCTGAGAACAATCGTCAACCGTTTACGCAGGTATCAACACAAGCTTCAAGACTGTGTGTTAATCAAGGACATCCTGACTTTTTACATAATCTGAACTGGTAAACATGTACTCCTGATGTCAACACCAATCAGCCATAACATTAAAGCCACCTGCCTGATATTGGGGGAAAAACGTAAACCTCTGACTCGCTATAAAATGGAGTCCACAGACCTCTAAAGGTGTTCTATGGTGTCAGACACCAAAATGTCAGCAAGACATTTTTTTAAGTTGCGAAGAAGCATGGATCAAACTTGTAATCAAGTGCACTGGATTGAGATCTGGTAAATTTGGAGGCAACACCTTGAGCTCTCTGTCATGTTCCTCAAAACATTCCTGAGCAGTGTTTGCAGTGTGACTGGGAGCATTGTCCTGCTAAAAGAGGCCACTGCCATCATGGAAAGCTGTTGCCACTAAACAGTGTACGAAGGTAGATGATGCTTGTCAAAGAAACATCTATGCAAAGACTCAGGGTTTCCCAGCAGAACACTGCCTCCACTGGTTGGCTTCCTTATGTATCCTGCTGCCATCTCTGCCCCAAGTAAATGCAAGATGTGGTTTCCTTAGATCAGACCACCTTCTTTCATTGCTCTGTGGTCCAATTCTGGTGCTCATGTCCCTGTTATAGGCTCCCATGCTGTTGGACAGGGGTCACCATGGGCACTCTGACTGGTCTGCCCCATACGCAGCAAGATGTGATGCTTGCTGTTTTGACACCTTTCAATCACAGCATTAAGGTTTTCACTTGCATTTGCTACATTAGCTCTTCTGTGGGATCAAACCACAAGGGCAGCCTTCACTCCGCATATGCATCAGTGATCCCTAACCACTACATACCCAGAAAATCCACAAGACATGATGTTTTGGAGATGCGTGACTCAGTTCTCCAGCATCCCAGTTTACTCATTTTTTTTCTGTTTCCAACACATCTGCTTCAAGAAATGATTATTTACTTGCAGATTAATGTATTCCACCCCTTGTGGGTGCTATTGGAATAACCAGTATTATTATTCAGTGCACCCATCAGTGGTTTTAATGTTATGGCTGATGGTGTATGTCGCAATGATGGGGTATTCTATATTCAGTAGCTTTACTAGGCACCATTTTGTAAAATTTTGGTGTCTTTTGTCTGTTCACTGTACTGTATTTTGATGTATGTTTTAATTAATGAGTATTCTTGTGATTGCTAAACTGATGTATTTATTGCAGACAAGGGTTTGTGCCAGCAGAGAGTGTGATGAATTTTCGGAAACAACTTGGCTGTGACACGTTTCGCACAGACGAGAAAGGTACACACCCATATCCTGTAACATACATTAGGAATATTTTTTTAAAAATAGGTTTTAATGAGGTAATTACAACATAATACTAATAGTAACAATACTGCAAGCTTTAGTTGATGTTGTCTGGTTTCTTTCTAATTTGCATCACCTCTCTACAGACCCAGAAGAGTTCATCACGGTCCTCTTTCAGAAGGTGCTTTGCTTGGAGCCACTTCTCAAGCTCAGGTACGATACTGAGCCATCCAGTATTAAATGTCCTGCAATATTTGGCTGTGTACAGTTCCGTAACTGAATATCTTTGTGTTCTTAGATCGAAAAGTGAAACGTCTCAGGGTGCCTACACTTTCCAGATCTTTCTGGAAAAAGAGCAGATGGGACCGATGCCCACCGTCCAACAGCTGCTGGAGACATCCTGCCTGTCAGGTGATCTCAAATTTGAGACGGTGAGTTCTGGTTTTACTGGAACAACAAGCTAGAACTGAATTGTCAAGTTCTCCGTTTCAGTCTTGTAACTACAGTATTATCTATCTCTTCCGTAGATGCCTTCCTGTCTGATAGTTCAGATGCCAAGATTTGGAAACAAGTACAAGATGTTTTCTCACATTATTCCTTCCACGGAGCTGGACGTCACAGATCTCCTGTACAACTGTGAGGAACACATATAATCAGCACTTATTCAAATCATACATTCTATTAAATGAATCCTGTATTTCTGAAGATCTTAAAGATGCTTACCGATATTTCTTTCAACAGCTCCAAGGGAATGCTTCGTCTGTGGGTGCTTGGCAGAGTACGAGTGTCTTCAGTGTCTATCAGATCACAAGTTGCAGCCAGGAAGAATCAAACAGTACTGCACGACCTGCAACAAGCAGGTAAACTTTACAGCAATTTTTAGATGTCAAATATCCCTCTGAGGTGACTTTGTGTTAACTTCTGCCCTCTATTTTTCTTGAAGGTGCACGCCCATCCCTTGCGGCAGGGTCACTCTCCCAGTTCTCTACCAGTCGCAGCAGATGTGGCTGCTGAAGCTCCAGTGCCCAGACACACAATGCAGCTGTTTGCTGTGCTCTGCATTCAAACCAGCCACTACGTGTCCTTCGTTAAGTACGGCCCTGACCCTCGCTCTTGGCTCTTCTTTGACAGCATGGCAGACAGATGTGGTAAGATGAATCTCAGCTTGTTTAATTCATTTAAAGTTATTCCTTGGCTTGAACAAGAAGCATTTTCTTTCATTAGTGGCATTAAATTACCTAATAAGAAACTGCACTCAGATGTTCCTGCGAGTTGATTTGGTAACCCATGACTGCTTTTTCCTGATAATGTAGCCTCGACTGTGTTAGATAACAGCGCTGCTGAAAGCAACTCTGACGTCTGTGACTGGCCTTTATCTCTCTCTGAGCTGATGTCTAATCTTAAGGCCACACTTCCTCACAGGTGACGATCAAAGTGGCTACAACATTCCTGAGATCCGAGCTTGTCCGGAGCTGGGCGACTTCCTGTGCCAGTCAGAGGAGGATCTGGCTCGATCCAACCCTTCCCAGGCTCCTGAACTCGTGCGCAGGCTGCTGTGTGACTCCTACTTGTGTTTATATCAGAGCACAGCCACGCCACTTTGAAAGCCAAACAACTAGAAGCCTTTAATGCATGTGAGGACAAGGACACCGTGTTCCTGCAACAGTGCCTTTTAATAACCTTACATTCTGCTAAATCAGCTTTAGTGCACTTTATTACTTCCAAACAACAGGAACATAAATGGATGCTTTTAACATCACAGAAAATTACTTAATTGTACTAAAAGCAGATATTTATGTATAAGGCGAGAAAGCAGTGAAAATATAACGGCTTCAGCTTTTTGTTTTTTTTACCCTTGAATGTCTTTCTGTTACACTGATTATTTATACAAAGATTTTTAAAGGAAAATGCAACATAGATGATTTTTATTATTTTATTCTTGTTTTTTTGTGTTTTATTCGGCAAATTAAAGTCGATTTAAGCACTTAATGACATGTTTGTGTGGTGTTCCATTTTATCTACAGTTGTTTTTAATGGCAAGTGTTATCCACTAAGCTTCACTGTCGTTCAGTGGTCACCTAGTAACAAGCTTTGGTATCTCAATAAAAACGTCACAATTACATTTACAAAATCTAAAGAATATCGCAAGATCAAAGTTAGTTCACATGAGCCCGAAATATACATTTCAGAATAATAACCACCTGAATTAGTCCAGTATTCTAAACCATACATTTTACTGTCGGCTCTCCAAGACGCATCAATTCCACACACTGCCTTCAAATTGTTATGTTACAGGTGTGTTGGCTCTTTAGGTTGTGGAGGTCAGAAAAGTTCCTGTGTTAAATGCCACACATAATGGCCAAAACCATTTTTGAACTTACTTAAAACATCATCAGCACCATACTAGAAGCTCTCACTTAAAAAAAAAAAAATCAAGACGTATGTCGGTCTCTTAAGATTGTATCTGTAATTTTCTTTAGGTATGTTAATAGACAAACAAAAACATATATCTTGATATGCATAGTCACTGAATGACATATGGGTGAATGAAGCCTCAGGAGAACATGAGTTTTAAATGCTACTATATAGGATAACTTTTCATCTGTTTTCCTATTAAGAAGCATAATAGCTAAATCAAGTGCCTTACAAAAGTTGTATCTGTCGTTATGTGGTTTACACACTGTTGAGATAGGTGAGGAAAATGTAGTTTAAAAAAAGTTCCTGGTTTGTTAGGAGACGTTAAAGGTAATAACAAGCACTTTGTATAGTGTTTATATAAATTATTTTACAATGTTGACAATGTCTTAGAAACACTTCATTCATTAACTCACAATGTCCATGAGGTGGCAGCATTACACTCTGACTTTGTATCCGTGTTGGTATAAATACTACTCATCAGACCTGTCATAAATTGCATATTTTCTACAGATGTGATGCTTATAAAAGTTTTTACTTTTTCAATGCCACAAATCACCTGTGATTACATTACATTTTCACAATGTACATGTTTGTTCATCCTCTTCTTTTAGCAGCAAAAGCTCAAGATTTCATTGGCGCTGAAAAAGAGAGGCAAGTATTTCATTTTCTTGCACACCAACTTTGCAACAATATGAATTTGTTAGGGGGCACCACCACTTTTTTTTTTTTTTTTTTATTTCATTCGATTTTACAGAATTGTACTTCTGCTTAAAGTTAAGTTTATTTGTTCCATTCAATTTTGACTGTTCAGGACTGATGACTGATGGTGAAACCCTGAGTTGAGGCATTGCTGAATGAATCTTATGAAAGTCATGTATTTGGTATTAACTTTGCAAACTCTGGTTTGTGGTCTGCTCTGAAGGCAGCACAACATCACACCACGATAACTGTCCAGATACAACTGTTTAGAATAATTGAATGTTTTCCTCTTTCTTCCCCTTGAGTCTTTTTGTTTGTTTTTCCTTTTGGTGGCTGCTAGTTGATTGGAGACCACAAATATGTGGCTTCTTATTTTTCCAGCTCATTTTGCCAACATAGCTTCATTCTCTGTATGCATTGTCACGCTACCTTACTCCTCTCCTTGCAACGGAGTCAGTAACATTTTGCAGTAGTGACACGACTCTCATGTGCTCCGACTGATGTAAAATGCATTTTAACTTCTACATTTTCTTCCTTCAGGGGAGGAAAACTAGCAATGATGCATCATTTTTCACAGGCTCCGTGCAGAGCATTTAATGCCACACTATATTTAGAATATGGTTGCTGTTGTACTGCTCTACAGTGGTACCTGTTTAGTGCTGTATTCTTTTTCAGTCACCTCAGCCACATGAGCGATTACATCCATGTGGTTCTGTAGGCCGAGCTCCAGGCAGTAGGAAAGGGTCAAGCTGGCTTTGTGGTGGACTTCTATCTGAATGTGTTCGGAAAGCATTTCCCAGGGATGACTCCTCATTGCTGGGTTCCTTAGGCTCTGAGTTAGAGGGATATAAGAACAGAAGTCTTCAATCCTGCTGTGGATTACAGTTGCTGCTTTTTGACAGTCTGGTGTTGTGTAAGACACAGACAGCAACCGATGAGACAACAGATCAGTCACACTTCAGATTGCCTAGTTTGAATAGTAATAGATGTGCGACCTACCAGGAACGTCCTCCAGCTGTTTAATACATCTGTGTAAGGTCTTGAGGGCATCAGTGATGTGGCACTCAAGCTGCTGAGGGTCGACTGAAGACAGCCGGTCACTGAGCCAGTTGTCACTCCACCGTACCCAATAACAGGTGGTGATCCGAAGGTCTTTGAAAGGCTGGAGGTCCTCCACCAGCTTCTACAGATACTTTAGTACCCATTAACATTTCTCTCCAAGTAAAAGCATGACAAATATACGCCCTTGTTATTTTTTAAAACCTCTGGAATGGGTAATTACATAAAAACCCTTTGGCCTTTCATTTACAGCACACCAAGCAGATGTTCTCTGGTGTTGTATGTTTGAGCCGTAGTCTGGCACTCCTGGAGTTGCTAAAATGTTTAACCTGGTTGGCTATCTCATGGGCACAATCAATGCCTGAGTTGCTCGCAAATCCAGCAATAACCAAATTAAAACCAAATGACATCAACATGATTTGCTAAACCTGAAACTTAGATACAAAGATTGGTCAACTTCCAGAGTGGCTGATGAACAGAAGAAAACTGACTTTACTCAGCAGACCTGCAGAGAGTCCAGGTGCTCTGCAAGGTTGTTCTGATCAGCTAGATGGTGAGTGCAGAAGTGCTCCTCATCCTCCACATGCTGGAAGGCTACCAATTCCATCTGGCCGATTATCCTTTGGGGCCACCCAATAGCCGTCCACCTGCACAGAAAAGCCACTTTAATGGTTTCAACAACAAATCATGTGACAGTATATCCCACATGACACCTAAAATAAATGTCATATTAGTTTGTTAAAATCCTCAAAATTCTTCTAATAGCTCATAGTCTGGCAAGGTCTTGTCAAGACGCTCCTGTTGTTTGTAAATTGGAAAAATAACCTGTCATGGAACATATATATATAATAGACATATCTACTTTGTCCCTTTATTCTGCACCTTGTAATTCTTGAGCAGCTCTGGGATTTGATTCATCCATTCCCTCGTTTCAGTCAGTTCCTCAATGCTGTTGGGTTTCTCACATAGCTTTCTGCTTATATTGTGACACTCTTCACATGCCTAAACACACATGATAACCACTCATAATGCAGGATGAAAATCAGCAGACAATAATTTATTAGATGAAATAAATGTAAGTATTTCGTAAAGAAAATTATCAAAACACTTTATAACACAAGACTCACATAATATATATAACAAAATACTTAAGTTAAGGTAACAACTTACATTATCGATCTGACTGCGTAGCTTCAGAACAAGATGGTCCAGCAGTGCATTGGCTAAAGCCTTTCTTTTTGTGTGAGAGACTGATGTACA